CAACCTTAGCTGTTGTCTGGTGTTCAGGGTCAAGGCTTCTGGGTTGCGCCTTCAGGGTTTACGATTTCGAGCGCTGAGCTGCCTCTGGGATTGCCTGGACCCCAAAAGTATGTAAGATAATGGCCTTTATGCCTATTATTATGGGTTTAAGGCTATTATTTTACATACTTTTGAGGTATAAGTTGCAGTTTAGGGTTTAAGATTTAAGCTCTGGAGTATCCTAAGCCACCCTGGGATGAAGTTTTGTGGCCTTGTACCCTGCATTCAGATTTTGCCCGGAGGGGCTCAGGTTCTGGAATCTTATTCTCAGGGTTCAAGAGGTTTAGGCTGACCTGGACTCTTAGCAAGACTTGTCATTCTGGTTATGAGGATTTCCCTGAAGTTAGATCATACTAGGGGTTCCTACATGAATTTCTCCGTCCTAAGAACAGTAATCTAGGCCATGCGCCATTTGTTCTGCAAAATAGAGAAAATGGCGCTAGAAAGGCGGGTTCCGTACTGCAGGGCCTGGCAACAACTCAGGCCCAGGCAGTTTAGGGTTGAGGGTTAGGGTTCAGGGTTTAGTGTAATTTCCCGCTTTTAAGTGTGTTGAAGGTGGTGCAAGATGTCTTCCTTACACAGTATTATCCCCCACATGAGTTACTTGAAAGCCGCATAGGGTACCTCCAATAGATTTCGAAATGCTACAGATACCTTTTCAGGGACCACCATGGTCCGTATGTGCACCCCATCATGGCAGCTTCCATATAATTGTCCACTGTTTTGTCCACTGTTTTGCTGTTCTGGGTAAGTGTGTATATATATATATATATACATATATGTGTGTGTGTGTGTACTACACTCTAGGTGCACCCCCCACCCTCTAATCGTGGTATAATAGGAATCTAAGAGGACCCTAATATGATCACCATTATTGCCTATAGCCACTAGTGCTGGCTGGAAGGTCCATCTAAACTATACCCTAAACCCGTATACCCTCACTTTAAACCCTAAACTATACTCTAAAACCGTGTTCTATCCCTTGCTGCAACGTCGCCCTTGGCCTACAGCTTGCATTCAGCGTTGCATGGCTTTAGGTGTTGGGTCGTTCAGAGTTTAGGGACCTTGCTAGGGTGTAGGCTTTAGCGTTTAGGCTTGAGGCTGTAGGATGTTGGGTAGGTTTAGGGCTTTGGTTTAGGGACCTTGCTTTGTTTCAAACTGAAGGGGTCTAGGGGGTTAGGGCTCAGTACCTCTGTGTCAAAGTGAGGGGATTTAGGGCTCAGTACACCTGGTTGGTTCATTGCCGTAAATCCTAAACCCTTGGCCCTAGACCCTAAACCGTAAAACCTACACCGGCCCTACACCCTAGACCCTAAATTCACACCCTGGACCCCAAACCCTACACGTCTCCAGGAAGGGAACCCTGGTTTCTAGACAGCACCATGTCGCGTAGCTTGCCAAACACTTTATGCTTACACTCTGTCATTCTCTTCCTGGCTGTGTCCACGAGCCTGGACAGCATTCAGTACATGTTCAGGGCTAAGGGATTGTGGGTTGTAAGAACCAGGGAGGAAGGGAATGAAATCTTTCGATTTCGACCTTATACCTTGTGCATGTAGGTCGAGGGACTGTCGCCGTCGCCGTTCAACATATAGGCGCCTCCAAACTAGACACTTACATGTTACGACTGTTGCCTTGCCTTACCCTAACTGTCGGAGACCCATATCCCTGTGAAACCCTATGTGCCCCTGACCCCTACCCTGTTTTCAAAGTTGACGTGTAATCATGGAGGAGTCGATGTAGGTAGCAGTATAGGGGGTTGTATAGGACTTGCTACAGGCATCCACTCCCCCACTCGAGTTTAAGCAGCAGTAAGCGATTACCCTAAACTCTAAACGTTGTTATGCTTGCGCTATCTATAGTTTTACATACATTAGAAGCTAAGTTTCCTGGACCCAAAATTAAGAGTGTCACGAAATGCAAGCCTCAAGTGTGAAGCCCCCTGCTCGCTTCCTGTTCCCCATGTATCCCTCAATGTTGCAAAAGGGCCCCCAACATTAAACCCTACACCGAGACCACCCAGCAAGTTCTTTGTTGCAATTGAGTAGCATTTTATTTGGGGATACTATGGTACCCAATATAGAGTAAGATTATATCTTCCTTTTGGGGTATAGTATTTCATATCAGGAACATTATCTTACTAGGTTCAACCACCAAAAAAACACTACTCAATCCTAAACCCTAAACCCTAAACCCTAAACCCTAAACCTGGCCTACGCACATCTTTGAGAACAGCGTCTACAAACACCCTGTCGGGATCCCTTATGGTAAGCCCAAAGGGTCCATGTAGGTATACGGTATATACTTAGGGCCCAAAGGGGTTCCCATATACTTACTTTAAGGCCCAAGTATACCCATATACCTACATGGACCCTTTGGGAAAGGGACTTGTTTTGGATTCTTGTCCTTCTCCCTGGGTCTTGTGGTAGGGGGGAGATGGCTGGACCCTTCCAGTACATGCATAAGTACTTTGGCCCTTTTACCAGCCTTGGGCACCCAGCCGAGATCTCCTCCCCTAAGCCTGCATCCCGAAGGTCGGACTGCTGAGTCCCGACGCCTCATACCTTGATCTTAAATCCTGGTCCTGGTAGCCATGTTCTATTCAGGCCCTGAAGGTTCAAAATCCGGGCTGGCTCCCTCTCCAGCACATTCTGTTCATCTCCATATATCTATTTTTTCTCTCTATTTCCATGTCTCTGTCCGTCTATCTCTCTCTGGCTCGGTCTCTCTCTCTCTCTCTGTCTTTCTTTTGGGAAGCTCCATGATATCTTGGCATTGACACATCAGGTTGCGCTCGAAAAGGCGGTTTCCCCGTGGCCCAAGACAATCCTACATGAATCCTATGTTCCCCAAGGAGTTTCTAACTCCAGGGTACAACTCTTACGGTTTACGGTTGTAGGCTTAGGCTAGGTACGGAAAATCCCAGCTGTCACCAGATGATGTCTTATCATGTCTACCATAGATAACACTTGTTTCATCAGCCCTAAACCCTAAACCCCACCAAGGGTTTATGGTTTAGGCTTCGGTTTCCTGCTAGGAGTGCTAGTCGCATTAACTCTGGCTTGGATCGTGACGAAGAACATCCTCGGCTGCAGCTGCCATCGTCAGCTCAGGTGGGGCTGGGGGTTTGAAAGTACGGTCCAGGATTCAGAATTTAGGACTAGTGAAGGTTTTGGGGTGTGAGGCTTAAGAGTTTAGGCCAAAGGGGTTAGAGTTCAGGGGTTCGCCTGCAGACATTAGGGAGTAAGCTGCAAGTCTAAGACTGGAGGCGAGCGGAGGAACACAGCGAAAACCACCTAAACCCTACCCAAACCCAAAACCTTAAGCCCTAAACCCTAAAACCCCAAACCCTGAACCCTAAACCCCGGTTGACCAAACTCCCAACACCGATGCCAGACTCGTCTATCGATGTACGTAGTTTTGTGTTTGGATCTCAACTTTTCAGGCTTAGGATCTATGGGGTTTGCGGGTCTTGTTCACAAAGTAATGCTCGTAAAGGTTTGTGGATATAGGATAATCCCCTCCCCTTCCATTATTAAACCTCCCACCCGCCTTAATATTAAATAATCTCAATATGGTATGAGATGCCACAATGGGGAGTATTTAATATTAGGGCGGGTGGGGCCGTAGGGGTGGAGGGGTTTAACATTAGGGGGAGGGGATGAATTTTGAGGGACGATGAGGGACTTCTGGCGCGACCTCACTGCAGGGCTGTAACAACCTTCCAGAAGCTCCCAATGCTTTTAGGGTTTAGGGTTGGTTTAGGGTTTAGGGTTTAGGGTTGGGTCCAGGGTCCGCGGTCCAGGGTCCAGAATCCAGGAAGTCCAACTCCAACGAAAAGCGTGCGTTTTTTTTCTACTCTAAGCCCACTACCCCCTTATTTGGTATGAGCTATATTCCCAGGTGAGCTATATTCCCAGGGTCAACAAAACCAACAAAGCACTTGTCCTTTAAGCGTCTCTTATGAGCATATTTGCGCTGGAAAAAGCGTGGTGCATTTGACTCTATCGGCTGGGCAAAAGAATACGAGGTAGACCTGCATGTTTCCCAGAGTCAGATACCAAGATCAACAGCTCAAGAGTCAGATGCTTCTTATAAATGCCATACCTTTATGGCATCAGACATTAGACACTGCAACTCCCATGCTCCCTCGTTGGACCAGCCCCAGCTTCAAATCTAGATGAGCATCTCTAAAAATGTGGTTCCCCTTGTACACCTCCAGATAGTAATAACCTTATCCCTAAACCCTAAACCCTAAATCTCAACCCCTAATAGCGGCCCAAACAAAACCTTGAAACCTAGAGCCTGAGCCCTAAATCTAAACGGGACTTTCAACATTGAAAAACACTGCACCATTCAGGTGGCTGCCAGCGTCGTCACGGATGGATTATTGTCACTAAGACTCTATGGAGGAGTTGGCTTCATGTAAGAGTTTGGGTAGAAGAGTAACGGAGTCCCATAATCAATAAACCCCCTCCTTTTAAGGGCCTAAATATTAGGATCCTATTAAGGGGAGGGGGCTTAATAATTAGGGGTCTACATTATGTTAGCTGGTTCTTGTGGTTGCATGGGGTGATGGAGGTTCATGGTTTTGAAGTTAGGGCTTTGGTTTGGGGTGTAGGACTGCTGGTCTTTTGGTGGTTGCATGCTAGAGCAAGCCTGAACAAGTACAACCGCACTTTTGGGCAGAAGGTAGAGTAAATTGGGCTCAACAAGCGGGTTAAAGGAAGGTTGTGTATAGGGAATAAGCCCCAATATAGCAGAGCATCTACTAGGGATCCTTTAACACACCTACCTTAATCAGACCTCTTGAGCCTCCTGAGTAATGCTCCAAGCAAGCACTGTGCAACACACAAGATGAAAGCTCAAGGAAGTGCGATGGGAACGGCTTGTGAACAAGTCTTCCCTGGCTAGATTAACATCATCCTAGGCAGTAGCAGGGTTCAAAAGACAAGCTGCAGATGCAAAGGTCTTACAACAGCAGTGGGAACGTGTCCTACAAGCGTACTGGCTGGTACCTTACGGCGGTGTCCGATCACCTCATCACCTTTCACAAGAAGCCAAAAAGTGGCGCGGATCACCGTCGCGTGACCTTTGTGGCTTTGCTCTGGTAGGCTTAGCTTTTTTTGTTTTTTTAGACTTCTGCTTTTACTTTAAGTGCATACTTTTGGGCGGTGTCTTGGAATCCGGTCAAGTTGGGCCACGAATATATGTGTACATATATATATATATATACACATACTATATATATATATAT